AATCAGCCAATAGAAGCGTTTGTTATTGTGTAGCGCGTTACGAGAATTTTGTAGTTAATCAAAAAGCAAGCATTTTTGTCAGCTATGTTATAAAAGAATTTGCTCATGCTTTTAGCTGTGCGTATATCGAGTTATGGATGCACTTGGGAAGTTTGGAGAGCACTCAAGAAGCTAGAGTTGCACTCGGCTATCGCCTCGTGCAACTCTTACGCATCTTTCGTGCTCTCCAAACTTCCCGCGTGCATCCATAACTCGATATACGCACGCTAAGCATGAACAAATTCTTAATTGATCATGATTTCACAAAAGAAAGGATGTTGGAATTTGGATCAATTGAAAAGGAAATACTTATCCTAGGGCTATTTTCGAAAGAAAAAACTAATTTGGGCGAGGGAAACGACGCAATTTTTGGGCTTGGACTCAGTTCTTTAACTTCCTTGATATCAATTATATTGGCGTATTGGGAAAATGTGTTACCTTTTTTATCACAAAACAGGAAGTAAAGATAACTAATTCACTCTTAATATTTAGGACGTCATTACTAATGGTTATAATGGTGATTAATATTGATACATGCATAATCCTTAACATATAAATTTAGACTTGATCGCGTTTTAAACTTCATAATGACTCGCCACTTGTTTTATGTTTACTAACTCATCATGGTCTTAGCTTCCAAGTTTTTTATTTCTCTTTTTGTGATTTCTCTTGTATCGAAAAATTCTGTTTCTGATAATGCCGAGGACCTCTCCCTGTTTCCTGGTCATTTGGAGCCACTTGGATCAAAACACAACAAAAGCTCGGTCAAAACACTTTCAGCCTTTCCTCAGCCACGCGACTTCTTCGAAAACTATGTTACCGCTAATGTGCCGGTGCTGTTTAAATCTGTTGCGAAACTTTCCCCGGCTTTCGTTAAATGGACCGACGATTATTTCTTGAGTAGCCCAGAAGCAGAAACATTTATGATCGATATTGAATATGGGAAGAAGGAGAATCGAACGGAAGGGGATTTAAGACGTGCGTCTTTCAAAGAGTTCGTGGAGACTTATAAAAAGCGAGACGTATACATGGTGAACGGAGTTCCATCGTTTATACAGTAAGTAAAATAAATATTATGCATAGATAACAATAAAGCTTCGCGGATTATGCACTAACTAGCTTTATAATCACTCAAGAGGTCAATAGTAATGATTTTGTCGTTTACATCATCATAGGGCTTTTGCACGAGCAGTTTATTTAAATAATTCTGCTTTGTTCAGTTTATTTACAAAGGCCTATAGATGCTGATATTCATTTAGAGAAATGTTACATAGTGGGAGAAATAACATTTATTATAAGTCTCGATCGTTTAATACAGGTATGTTGTGAGATCAACAAGAAGTAAAAGCCATTTTAATTGCGCAACTTTGTTCTATGAATAATTTTACTNCTTTCAGCCTTTCCTCAGCCACGCGACTTCTTCGAAAACTATGTTACCGCTAATGTGCCGGTGCTGTTTAAATCTGTTGCGAAACTTTCCCCGGCTTTCGTTAAATGGACCGACGATTATTTCTTGAGTAGCCCAGAAGCAGAAACATTTATGATCGATATTGAATATGGGAAGAAGGAGAATCGAACGGAAGGGGATTTAAGACGTGCGTCTTTCAAAGAGTTCGTGGAGACTTATAAAAAGCGAGACGTATACATGGTGAACGGAGTTCCATCGTTTATACAGTAAGTAAAATAAATATTATGCATAGATAACAACAAAGCTTCGCGGATTATGCACTAACTAGCTTTATAATCACTCAAGAGGTCAATAGTAATGATTTTGCCGTTTACATCATCATAGGGCTTTTGCACGAGCAGTTTATTTAAATAATTCTGCTTTGTTCAGTTTATTTACAAAGGCCTATAGATGCTGATATTCATTTAGAGAAATGTTACATAGTGGGAGAAATAACATTTATTATAAGTCTCGATCGTTTAATACAGGTATGTTGTGAGATCAACAAGAAGTAAAAGCCATTTTAATTGCGCAACTTTGTTCTATGAATAATTTTACTACATGGCATCGTGGAAGACGCTGCGAGGGGTAGTTTTACTCTTTAGTAATTTTCCCGCACACTATAGTACCACAGAACAGCAGCTGAAAAAATATAGATTTTCATCGGTGCAAATATATCCCTGAAAGTATATACGATTCTATTCCTTGGATTACTGTTGCATTTCACATACTACTTAAACAGAAATCAATTCACTTGTCAAATCGTATATGTAAATATGTAAAATTTGCTATGTTGAAATGACCTTTTATCTTACATTTTTAAATTGAACCTTTAAAGGTTCAATTTATAATACACCTGCGATCTTAATCAAAGGTATTATTATACCTGTCTCCTGCATTTCACGTTTTCAACGTTAATGTCGTGGAGACGGTAAGTTAATGTTTATTTTAAAAAAAGAACAGTTGAGTGGTAAGAAGAAATTGGTGTTATCTTAAATTGGAAGAGTATGCTCTTGAAATTTGTGCGGAAGGCTCAATACAAACCCTTACGTCCGTCTCTTTTGATAGCGGAAGTGTTATCCGCAAGAAAAGCCAATCGTTACATCTGTGTCCTAAAATACTGATTCAATCTTAAATAGATTTTAAGTGTTTAGTGGTTGAAAAGGGATGACTTTTGGAGAAATGTCCAATATATGATATGCGTATTCCCGAATCCTTTTGACAACAGAGTACAGTCAAAAATAGTACCACAAACGATGAACTTTCTTTCGTTGAAGAAAAATGCCGCGTGTTTTATGAATTAATTTCTTTGACTCCATATTTAAAACCGGGATGAATTTGCGTCATATGGGAAATTCCACCTTGGCTACCCAAAATATTGAAGTCGCTTACTTATTTTTACATCAGATATAGGGCGAGGAGGCCGAGGGTTTATGGCCGTGACAAACGAAACCGGCCAATTTTAAGCGAAAATAACGTGTGCTATAAATTTTAGATTTTTTCACGAAGATTTGTTATTTTTGACACTATAATATATTACAAGCACAGGAACTAAATGATAACAAAAAGTTACATACGTGGTGAAAACCGGCTAAAAATGGCTCAGTGGCTTAAGTAGCTAAGGCTTTCGAGTTGGTCACTACGGTGCCACGTCCAATTTACTGGCGTCATATCACGGCCTTATTTAAGAGTTCATAGTAAAAACAAGAAATTTCAACACCAGCAGGTTAGGGCATTAGCTATAGGATATTGCGGATTCGACCCAATGATCGTAAAAAAGGTTTCAACGGAAATCCAGAAATAGAGACTGATTCAATACTGATCTTTGTCGGATATATTAGCTCAAGTCCAAAAGTTTTTTGCGTTCGTGATTGCCTTGTCTGTCTTAGCAAATAAATTCAAGCACGACGTAACAGCGGATTAATATTGCTGGAAGAAATAACTCATTTATAGCCTGCGAGCAAGCTCTCCTATTTGGGCAAGCGAAGTGAGCCTCGCGAGAACGCCCCTCGTGGCTTCGCTGCCCCCTCGCGCGTTCTCGCGAGACTCGCTTCACTCGCCCAAATAGGAGAGCTTGCTCGCAGGCTAAGTCATTTAGTGAAGAATAACTTGCTAGGGCAATAAAAAGAGTCTGTAAAAACGGAAAAACAGGTTTTGTTGAACAGGCAGCTTTAGTGAAACACAGCTCATTTAGTGACCACCCGCCATCGGCAATCCTTTTGTGAGTGTGGTTTTTTGACGGCGAGCAATAAATAATCATTCAGAAAGGTTTTTTAACAGTTGAAGGAGAAACAATACAGGGAGAAATTTTTAAGCACAATGGGTTTTAATCCTAAAAAAGTCTTTCTGGAATAGAAACGTATGGGCGGCGGTATCGGTGAGAGGAAACGAGTCAGGCAGGATCGTTTGGTTATTTTTTCTATTATATTTTATTTTTTATTGCACTAAAATATCTATTTTTAACTACCATGTCACAAAATTTTTGACCAGGGGATAATGAACACAAGTTGTTCGGAGGTGACGGGTTTTCCTTGCCAGATCATTCATATACACACCTTTCACCCCACACCTGTCGAATCTTCCGTCTCATTGATCTGTGTGGGCATCCTGTGGCACAGCAAGCGACACTTCATTTAGCTTACACAACCTACGCATTGCAAAACGAGTATATTTTCCGTTCATATCACTTAGATAGGAATTATTTATAACTCATCTTCACAGCATGAAGAAGAAAATATTCACTTCAGGTCACCTCGTCGTAGTGTGTTTACAACTCTTACTGATTCCGGTAGCGAAATTTTCGTCAGATGAACCGCATTTGACAAAACACCCGGGTCATTTGGAGCCTCTTGGAGCAAGAAGCGCAAAACGTTCGCTGGAAACGATTTCGGATTTTCCAACTCCTGAGAAGTTCTTCGAAACCTATGTGGCTCCTGTTAAGCCAGTGTTGATAAGAGGTGGAGCTAAACTTTCTCCAGCTTTCACAAAGTGGAGTGATGAATATTTCTCGTCTTTTACCGAGTCTAGTGATTTCCAAATTGTTGCGGAGCAACGTAAAAAGGAAGTTCGCACGAACCCCCCGATTGATATGAGCTTCAAGGAGTTTGTAGCAACTTACGAAAATAAGGATATTTATATGGTACATGGTGTTCCTCCTTTTCTTCAGTGAGTAGCATTTGTTTTGTTTCGTTTCATTTTTGAGGAAATAGTGCTGCCCCATTGGCATTCATCTATCGTGGTTCAGTGTTTAATACGGCTTCTATCGTTGCATGTACGCAGCTGTGACAGCTGTTTTTGTAAAAGTTCTTTTTCCTTTGTTTTCGCGCATAGAACAAAGGAAAGTAAATATACTGTTCCAAGCGTAATAATTATAAATGAACTTCCACTCATTTTGAATATGGCTGGATATATTGGGTCTTGTGTCAGGATAGTTCAGTGGATTTCTTTGGTGGTGGTGGAATGAGGGGGAGGGAGGCGATGGGCAGTTTTGGGCAATGGTGAAGGTGTTAAGGAGAGAGTGCAAAGAACTGATGGCTCCAGTGAAGATCAGGGTGTAGTGTTATGGGCTTCACCACTGCAAGTAGTTGTCAAAAATTGCAAATTTCAGTGATGCTGGCATTGAATGTCATTGAACCAGCCTGTTCCAACACAGTGGCATTGGTGACATCATTGTGCCATGCAATGCCATAATTGTTATCACATAAAACTGCTGTTTTCCATGTTACACTCTTACCGGGTGATGATACTGGAGTGGCTGCTCTTGGTTCCAGGCCTGGGCTATGGTGTATGATGGCCATGAAATGTTCTGTCCAAACAACAGGTCCCCATCTCAG